TCTATAAGTATAACATCAATCAGCAAATCCCAAAATCAAAGTTGCATTTTTTTGAGTATCAGGCAAAAAGTCTAAGAGTGGTTTCCAGTTAGAGACAAAGTCAGACAGTGCCCTGTCTTTGAGCAAAGCAGCGAGTTTCACCAACTCAGCCTATTCCATTAATTTCAATATCCATTATTCAGCAGTAGGTATTTGTATATCCTTCCAACTCTTGCTGTAGTTCTTGTCAGTCTTCCTAACTGCAATATAAAGCTGCCTCTCTCCCCTCCTTCTGCCTTGCTTTTCTCTCTTCCATTATTTATATCTCATTCTCTGCAGCTTGGACTCGTCAGCTGTCCTTGCTGTACCACTTCCTTCAGCTCCATAATATTGTAAGTAATGTTGCATTGTGGGAGTTCTCTCAGCGTGGTGTTGGATTGCAGATTTTTCATTGCCCTACCAGGTATCATATTGGGGCAGGAGTTTGGAGAAGTGAGGATTGTTGGTTAGCCATTCTAGCCTTAAACTGAGACAGCTGATGGTCACCAACTTGTATTGCTGTTAAAGAAAATTTAAAAAACGGACACAAAGATTCTTCATGGCTATAAGTCAGCAATCATGATGGCTGCATATTAATTCCAATAATAGATGCAGTAGCTTTTTGACAAAGTTGTTGGGGAACATGGGTAGCAGTTTTGGCATTACATTCATGTTCTGCAACTTAGTAAATGAAGAAACAGACTGTTGGACTTGATGGGAGTTTCATTTGATTCAACCCAGTTTTTATGCTTTTTTAACTTATTTCTGAGCAGATATGCATAAGATTGTGCTATTAAAGAGTCACTTTATGTGAGATGGGCAGCTATATAAATATGATAAACTAATTAATGTATTGAGTATTATATCTTTGTCTGCATCTGCTTTGATATTGCTCTTTGAACCCAGCTTAATGTTCTCCATCATGTTTTCTGTTTTCAAAAACATTTTTTCCAATCCATGCATTTTTTCCTTTTCTGCAAGATCTAATTATATATGTTTTCTGCAATATGTTATCTCCAGTCTGAGATCATACAATTTTGATGCCACAGCTTTTATAATAGTACTCCATTTCAGGGCACATCTTCAGCCTTATCATTTTATGGATTGTAGATTATGAGAGATTTTGTCATACAGTGTTTCTGTGAAATGTTGTCTTCTTACCTGGTTTTATTTTCACAATAATTTGGAACTTCCAAAAAAACCTCTGAAGATAAGTGGAGAGAGTAAGGAGGATGACCTTGATGGAGATATGCAGAAGCTGTTACCTAGGCAAAAGGGATTGAAGCATTTTTGAAGTCCAGAACTACCAGATAGCATTCAGAAGTAGCTCAGACACTTCCCCAATTAACTGAACTATAAGAGGCAGGAGGAGGTACAGCACCATCAGACTTGCAAGATTCTGTTATTATAGCCAATCTCAATAAAAGTAGGTTTAGCCTTCTGGTGGAGTTGATTTCCTGGTCTGCTCTACCTAGAGAGGTTGACAGTAAACTTTTCATAAATCTAAAAGAGGAAAAAATCTAATTTTTTTCCTCTTTAGTAAACAGTAATAGAGTCATGAAACAAGTTATATATAAATAATGATTAGTTCATTCGTTGTCTGAGTATTTAGAAATGCTACCATCTTTCTGAGCATCTTCTATGAAATAAATTTATTTCTTACCTATAGCTATAATTCCTGTATTACGTTCTTTCATCTTTTGCAATGTCCCAAATTAAGCTTACATTTCCAAGTGTTTGCACAATCCCATCTTTTAATCATTTTTATCTTTTCATTCACAGTATTATTAATCATTAGTAACTCTGTATTTTGTAAACTCTGTAAATACAAGTTTTATTTGAAATTATAAATCAGTAGTCAGACTGGTATCTCCATATCTTTCTGTTTACTCTATCTCTTTCCAAATATTTTAACCTATTCACATTTCAAAATTTAAAACTAACTCTTTAGATCAGCAGATTTTTCAGTTAAAATAATTCCATCCATCTGGAAGAGCTTATTCTGTGAGATCAGGATGGCTCCCACCCTGTTGACATTTAGGAAAGCTGTAAAAACAGCGCTTTTCTGCAGGGGCTTTGGTGTTGAACCTCAATCAGGTGGACAGAACTGATGGCTTTTAATTGTAGTTTTAATTGGCAATTGTTTTATTTATTATGCTTTATCATTGTAAACTGCCTTAGAGTCTTGCAAGTTGGTGATAAGCAAATGCTTGTATAAGCAAATAAAAATATTTGTCAAAGGTTAAAATGTGATTCTTAATTGTCTTTGTCAAAACTGTAGTTTCCTTTCCAGAATATAGTCTAGGCCAGTGGATATATTGAATTCCAAACTGATATCACCCTGGTTGAAAGTTATGTTTTTCAGAATATCACACTGTTTTAAGCTGGCTTTTCCTTTTAATAGTGAATCCTTAATTGGTGACTGGGCCTGTCTCCTTTAGTTGATGTTTGAATGAAAGGACTACATTATATACAGTTTCACATTTCATATAAGAAAGACATGATGAATCCATCTTCTGTAGAAAATAGCCACATTCTACTTTTTTAGCATGGGTGTATTGGTTCTAATGTTGTTCCTCAGCTTTCTTCAAACATTGGCCACTAGTGAGAGGGTCAGATTTGTTTTCATGTAGCACACCACCCCTCTGATAGTTTCCTTTGCAAAACTCTGGCTTTTCTGCTGCTTTTTGAAAATACTCAATTTAAGGGAAAGGCCTTCTTTGTTGAAAACCCAGTCTGCTGTGGTTGTCACTGTGTGGATTCTTAACAAACTATTATTCAGTATCCAGCCTAGTAACATTATCTGCACAGCTAATTGTTCTTTTGTAATAGCATTAACCTTCTGATGATCATTCCTGTAATAGAAGATACCTAATTTAAATTGTCTTGTGTTGTCAATTGCAAGAGTACAGATTTCATAGTACGGTTTTCAGATCCTGTATTATAAATGGTTTGGCTGAAATTATTTTAAACTAGTTCCATAAAACTGGCCTAAGCAGATATTAGCAATATATTTTCAAGGTTTTTTAAAGTGTGTTCTCCAGTTAAAAATAAGATTTGGAATGTATTCACTTATTTATGTAATGCTAAATGTAATAATAACATATAGCACATGACCTTCTATTAGGGAAGGATTATAAACTGATATCTATTTGCCATCCAGAAGAGTTGGCAGTTACTTCTTGATAATATCTAAGTAGATTTTTCAAAAATCCAGTGAAGGTTTTTAAAGGATGAGGCCACTTAAATGTAAGGGCATAACATTTAAGAAGCATATTGCTTATTGTTAAATTGTTTATTGAAGCCGCTTTGAAACTGCCAGAGAAAAACAAGGGCATGTGGTATGGGGTTAGTATTGAAACTGAACCAAATTGTGGCTTTGTTGTCAGGGCAGGAACACACTGTGATTATTTGCAAATTGAATTGTATATGTTATCAAACAGTATGGACAGAAGGAGATGTGAAGTTGTTTGGGGCTTTGGGGCTTTTGCATAACTCCATTGAATGGAAGAGGCAACATGGCACTTGTGGCCTTAGGATTCTATGACTAGATTGTGTCTACTGATCTCCACTATGTCTGTCTGTCTGTCTATCTATCATGTGAACCTCAGAAGCCCAGTCTCATAAGAACTGTGCTCTCACATGAAATTTTGGCAATGTTAATTATTTTTAACATTTCAGTGTTAAATTACTTTTCACATAACTAAACAATTGTTTTTAATTTTTGGTTTTTGGCATTAATGATGTTACATGAAAACTCATATTGTGCCTGCCTTTTGAAAAAGTTCCTGTGGCAGAACTTAGAAAACCAGAAGTTGCCCCATTCCTGCTCCACCCCCCACCCCTAGGAATACTGAATTTGTTATAAACCTGCTACTCCTTTTGGGGGCAATTTAACAGAAAAGTTATGGCAGGATAGGAACCTACTGGTGGTATAGTGTTTCAGTGGAATATAGCTGAAGTTGCCCCAGCATCAAGTCAGTGATAAAAACATTTGAAATTTATGCCACTTCTTAAAGCTCCCTAATACATATGGAGACATGAATGCATTAGTGTGGGGGAGTAAGAAAGTTCCTTCTGGGATAGATTGCAATTTGTAATCATTCATTATTTACTCTCATTTCAAAAACGTGCTTATTATGTAGCTCCTAAAATCCACATCAGACCAATTGAAACTAATCTCTCCTGCAATTGTAATATAAGTTGAACATAGAAAGTTTCTGTTCGAAATCTCTCGTAATACACTAATTCTCTGTGTTAGAAATCCTGTTTCATCCACTGATTCCACTGAGAACTTTCAACTTGAATTCTGGGATCAAACAAAAATTCCTACCCAAGAAATAAAGGTCACTATATCATGTTATTTGGAAGAGAGATTTATCTAACATTTTAAGGGAACTAGTGGCTTTTTTGTCTTTGAGGAAGGTGATAGCTGAGGTTGAAGTAAAAGCAAGAAATTCTCTAAAGGCCATTGCTCTTTGTGAGTTCCCCTCAAATCTGTAAGAGAACATTGCTTCTGAAAACCCAATTTGCCACCTTTGAATGGGACACTGAATTGGAATGAAGACAGCAATGCTCAGCTTCATATGGTATTTTCCACTCAGAGTGACATGCAAAGCATTAACAATACCATCACTGAAACATTTTCCAAATGAGGAAACTATTAAAAATAGCAGAGCAGGAAAATGTTTGTCACAAATAATCCAGGTGCAAAATTGTCTTTGTGGTAGAACCTAATATATTTTTCATTTTCTGATTTCTAGATGGCACCACGGATTTGAGACTGAGTGGGCATTTTTCTGAATGTCCTGAGGAGTACAAGTACTTCTGTGTCAAGGGAAGATGCCGCTATGTTGATGTAGTACAAATCCCAGCCTGCATGTAGGTCCCAAAGCACTAAAACTCATGCCTTTACCAAGAGCTAAACCTGAGCATGACAGATTCTTTGGAAATATTTGGCTAATGGCTTATTACATATTTGAAGCTGCTCTTTTCAGCTGTTCTTCCAATTCTGGAGTGAATACTATATGAACTCTTATTTTAAAAATCATAATGCAGTTGTGAATGTCTTTCAATTATGGATCCCTTCCAGGTTGTCTTTAATGTTGATGAGTAGATAAAATCTTCCCTATGGAAGGATGATTGCTAAAACTTTATTATTTATTAAGAAATTAATAACATATCTTAGCCAGGGCTCTACATTGCATGAAGAATGCCCATGAAGAATCTCCCTAGTTTAGAGGTTGCATATGAGGAATCTGATGAGAGTGAAGTTATATAGAATTATTTTTGGCTAATTTTAATATGGATATTTCTTTTTTTTACTGTTTTTACTGTTTTGGATTTTAATTGTGAGCCGCCTGGAGTCACCGTCTGGGGGAGATGGGCGGCATATAAATTTAATAAATAAATAAATAAATAAATAATAAATAAGATGAGGTGGAGTGAGCATCCTGATTTTTAACCACTTCTTTAAGGTTACGAGCTATAACTTTTAAATTACTTTTCTTCTCAAATTAAAAAAAATGCCAATATCTTGGTTTTGGTATTGCAAAATCCTGTACTTAATCATATCTATGGTACAACCTA